TCTTTGAAAAGGAATAACACTTAAAAATGGTAAAACAGAAATGTTTGATCAATGGCAGTGAAATTGTGTGTGTAATTTTACGAAGAATAAATTAAAGCAGGGACAAATTTATGATTAGGTTTTGTCATAGTTATATATCTGTTTGTTTTTAATATGAAAATGACAAAAAGGAACAGATTCACTAGAAAGAGAGCACGATGATCCCTATTATGGTCGCTTTTTATCATGTTATAAGATCATGCAAAGTTGATTTAATTAAAAAAACAAAATATTTGTTCTGCATACATGTTTGTTGAAGTACACTTTACCATGTTCACTTTTGTCATAATTTAATGTATTGTTATGTCGGTTATAAATTTCGAAAAATGACACGATTCAGTAAATCTGAATAGTGTTTACATTGAAAAGTATCCATTATTTTCAATTTTATTGTATTTTATATTGACATCGGAATAATAACTTAAGTGCAAAGTGTGAACAATATTTCGTTCAAATTTTTCTCCAAATTTTTCATTACAAGGAACTTTATTATAAACATTTATGATTTATAAACATAATTATAAAACATAACTTTTCATTTGACGTAGACGTAACACAATTGTTAACAAATTATACCGAAATAGATTATAACTTTTTACAGAGATAATACATAAACCCATCGCTACAATGTGAAGGAAAAAAATCAGTAAAACTTGAATACTTCATCTTTATCTCGTAAAGGCAATCACCGGGGCCCATTATCTTTTATGTTTTATTCCTCTTATGTGGTCACGTGACTAACAACGAAACATTATCAATGGAAGGAGCCATTATTCCTTCGCAAATATCTAAAAAATGAAACCACGAAGGATGTGTTCGTTATTATGGGACACTAAATATTTCTCTGACTCACTAACTGTTGTTAAGATAGACATACAATTGATGAAAACAAGTCATGATTTTTATAAAAGTAACTACAGACTACTTTTAGCAAATTTACATAGAAGTTAAATGTCGCAATAACTTATTTTCAATTTATGGCTATTTTGGACCGCCATCTTAAGACTTAAAAAAGAAATGACACGAGTTAAATTTAATAAAAACTTAATTTACATCACGATACATTTAATAACCCGAATCAATGAAATTTTACAAGTTATCTATTAATTATTGTAAGGTTTTACAAAATATTTCTGATGTATGTACCACTGGAAATGTTGCCATATTAAAATGACTCAATATCAGAAAAGAGATAAATTTCGTATTTTCCGAAATTATCTAATACTTGTTTAAAAATAATTCCTACCATAAATTGATATGCTTTTATAATCTTGATCAGTATGAAGAATTCTTTTATTCGGAATCCATCTGGGAAGACATTAAATGTTTCTTTTTCCCAGTGGTGGCAGTATGACACCCTGAATTATTTGCAATGCAAGTATTTATGCAACTTTCTAAAGAGAAAATTAATAAAGAAATATATTTCCCTTTTATTAAACAAGAAATAGGTAAAACTTGTTTTTTGTTGGTCGTCAACCAGATATGGTAGTAATCTGATTGTGTTACGCATCCTCCACAATCATCGGCGCACAACGCTAGTCCATGGACAAAGCTCAAATACTATGTACTCTGATGTATAATTATAATACACATCAAACATACTTATATATATATTACATTGAGACCTCTATTCATGGAAATATATACATCGTCTGCTATTGTTATCGTACTGATACTTGTCGCCTTCTTCACTAATCACTGGCATTAATTACAATATATTACTTTAAGATATTACTAAAATTCATATCTATTGATTCAAGTTTATTACCCCTAAGTGCTGTCGTTTGTCTAATGTTTACAGTTGCATATGTACCTGGGTAACGCACTTAGGGTGCAGTGTTACAGGGCCTTTCCATGCTCAGTCAACACGTTTTCTATATTTAAATAAAAGTGATTTTTTTTCTTTTGGTTGAATTCAACTTAGTACCATAACAGTATAGGTCACATGGCGACTTTCAAGCTGAACTGAAGGAGAAAAGCTCTCAGGTGCCCATCTGATCATTATTTCAGGCACAAACGGGAAACCTGAGCAGAACCATCAACGTGCCGTTAGCTAGCTGGATAGCTATCTCACAATTTAGCTACAGTGTGAACTAATACGGGTATGGAGAATTATATTTAAGTGGAAATATTGTGATTCTCTCTTCAAATCGCTATTTTAGCTGCCTTTCTTAGATGCTACCGATCTATGTCCCCGCCCGCGTATAACTCAGAGAGCCAATATATGTAAATGACGATTATTTTGATAAATTAATCTTGGTTGTGAAAATAAACATGCATTTTCATAATAAATGCCTTTAAACTTAAAGCTGTTTGTTACTTGAGTACATGTAATTGATACATGCACATGAATTTGAAATTACGTCCTTGTACAGGGCGATCAGTCAGTGATGTTCATCCCCTGTATAAAACTTTTTATGCTCTGTTTTTGAAGTTCGTGAGATGAAATGAAATTACATTATTTTCTCAATATCAACTTGAATATCAAAATCAGTTTTCCCCACCTGTAGCCTCAATTTCAAACCAATTTCTCATAAATATAGGATAAAAAGTAAGTCGAAAAATGAACGTTGAATTTTGATGATATTATTTTTTTAAAGAAATATATGAATAATCACTTGTTTTAGTTAAATAAAACAAACAATTCTAGAAAATTAAAATGTAACACCATGCCGAACTTCTCCGCGAAACGGCAAAAGTACATATGAGGCTAGCCTTAGCTATGTAATCGACCATCTTTTTTTAAAGTTGTGTATTTTACGGGAGGAAAGAATAAAATGTGTTTGATCAAGCTTAATAAAAATGATTATTATGAAAAGTTTGAGACAATTTTTAAACGACATACTGTTAATTGATTTCAGCATCCCTATAAATGATGTTCCAATAAAGAAAATAAATACTTATCAATGTTAAGACACAGTTTAGATTTACTTAATAGCGTCATTTCCGACATTAGATACGTTCAAATTATGACAAAGTGTACTTTTACAGAGATATATGCAGAACGAAAATTTGTTGTAAATTTTACCTTAGTTTGCATGATACAAGCAAACATAATAGGGAAAGTCGTGTTTGTTTGCTGTTGATATGTGCTTAAATTCGTCTTTTTGTTCTTTCAGATAAAAAACAGATATATAAACCGTATTACTTAATTAGTTTCTGCTTTCTATTTCTCCTTGGTAAAATACCATAACAAAAGTTTATATCATTTTTAAAGCAAATCATGGTAAGTTAATGAACAGAAGTTTTGCACCATTACTTAAATGAAAGTAAACTACATGAAAAATCTGAAAGTTTAAGGCTTATTTGAAAGAAGCCATTGTTTCAAACTGAAGGGAAGGTAACTCGAAAATGGAACTGATAACCCGAACTTTGTTTGCTAAAATGTTTTTCTCATGCATACATTGTACAGTTTTAATTCTGCTTGCGAATCGTAAAATTATGAATAAGTCTAATGTATATTAACTCTCAGTAAATGTGGAGAAGGATATCAATCCAATCAGACTTTACATTAAATAAAAAATGCACCCCCCCCCCCCCAAAAAAAAAAGAAAAAAAAAAAAAAAAAAGAAAAAAGCAACCAAAAAAAAAAAAAAATAAAAAAAAAAAATAATAAATAAATAAAATAAAGCAACAACAACAACAACAACAACAAAAACAACAACAGAAAACAAAGACACTTTGTTATAAACTTAGTGATTTGACACAACATAATTATCATGTATATATATATTACCACCGTCAGTTTAATTAGCTGCTAATTATGATGGTTACTTTATGTCGTGTTTTCGCTCCGCTGGGAGCTACGCCAACACGGAAATACGGCAGAGTCAAACTTTGTCAGTTTTTCTTTCCATAAAAGGCGTTAGACGAAAACATACAAGACACCATTTTCTTGTACTTCGCTCCTCTTGGCGCACAGCGAAAATACGTAACCATTTTGTTGTGTTTTCTTTTGGCGCCCTGCAAAGCGACACACGACAGTCACTTTTTTGTCGTATGTATGCCAGGCCATAAACGAAAATACTACAATTTCTACATTTGAATGTATCCGTGAGTCTTTGCGCCTCGTCCCACAGATCAAAATGAGACATTGTCTAACTTTGTCGTATTTGGATTTTTGGTCTTATCACCGCAAAGCATAAATACGACATTGCACTAACCAGCCACCTTAGCTAAAAGAGTGTCACGCACTGTGTAAACAGGATAAATTCAGAAAGAAAATCTGTGTGCACTCAAACTTGTCTCTGTTACATGTTTTTGATAACCCGACATTTCATTGTCCATTGTTTTGCGAATATTACCAAAAACAAATCAAAATTGACATAAGTCACGTTGAAGCCGACTATATCTATTATATTTTTTTACTTAAAGTAAAGGCATTAAGTAATATCAAGCAATAGAAAGAGCATTGGTTGAAATAATTATCTCTTTAAAGTGGATGTATTAGCCGCATTTCTAAGTATCATGCAACAAATGACAAGAATAGATAAAGTAAAAAAAATATCCAAACTTCTCGGCTTGGAAATTTCTATGAAATATATTCTCTTATAGATACCTATATATAAATACCTTTACGTCTGACAGTGCGGTAACTTGAGAACATGACACACACGCGCACGTACACATGCGCACACACGCGCGCGCGCACACACACACCAACACACACACGCACGCACCAACGCACACACACACGCAAACACGCACACACACCAGTAAAATCACTGTGCATTTATTGGCTTAGGAAATGTATCTCGAATTTTCAAGTGCATATTCGTCGATATCGCATCTAAAACAAAAAACTTAAAACGTTGATTTTAACCGTTACGTTTTTGCCGAGAAATTCATAATTTATATATGATATACATGTACATTTTTAATTTTTTTTTATTCAAATTACTAATGAAGTTTGGTATGAAAACACCTTTCCTGATGACATTGAATAAATAATAAAAACTACAGCTTTTGGACACCAGAATGACAAGTATTTAAACTTTTTTAACTCATCTTCCATTTTTTAAATGCTTTTGGACTTCAGCGGAGTTCCTTTAATACAACAATTATAATTTTTGATACTGTTGATTTATATGATGTACATTGAAAATAAAAAAAATGATAAAAATGTCTACCTCCTATACAATCAATGAGATCCTTAAAAGACTAAAATTGTTATTTTCATTGTTTATATTATTTGCAAGAGATTGATTAAAATAATTAGTGTGATGAAAAATTAGTTTATGAAAAATAAAAAATGAATGTCTTTTTTGTTGTTGTTGTTGTTGTTTTAAATGTCTTCCTTATAATTTAAAGAAAATCTTGTCTTCTTTCGTAAACTATTTGCCCAGTGTTAAAATTGTGATGACAACAATTAAGCATTGCATAAGAATTCCTGAATATGCTCTATTGCCCGAGTTAGATTCTGACCGACCATAAGAGTCTGACTGACCATCAAGTTTGTAAACTATATAGCCTTCTGTTGTTTGATGTTCTTCAAATACTTTGAAGACATAGTAGGACTTAATCATAACTTCTTCTTCATAACCATATTGTGAGTAGTCATCAACCAATACACCATACACATTTGAAATCTCAAAAAAATATCCATCTTTGCAATCAGTAAAATCTTTAGCTGTTTCACGATCTAAAGTGGTACTTATGATCTGGTTGAATGTGAACGTACGTCCTTTAACAGGGAGATCATTCAATTCTGTACATCCCCTGTATACAATTGTATGCTCCGTAGGTCCAAGAATATCGATACCCCTGTTTATAAGATCGCCAGATCGTTTCCAGATATTAGTGTCTGCTGGGTAGTTTTCACGCATTTCTTTGTTCAAAGTTTTGTAGAATTTGTTCTCTTCTTGAGTATACAAGTGGACAATTCCTATTGCATACTTTCTATCCATGGTTTCATCAAGACTCCATCCTTTCTTCTGCCTTTTCGACATTTGATCTAAATCCAAAGTCTTCGAGATCTTGAAACAATTTTTCAACCTCACCAGAATAACCTTCAATTTAATTAATACAGTTTTAATTTTTATATCTTTAATTAGAAACTGTTCCCCAGAACAAAGCGTTAATGCAAAAATGTTAATTGTAGTTTTGGGAATTTGTTTTGCTTAGAAGTAATAAATGAAAAATGAGCGATATCAAAAATTAGCAATAATTAATCATCAACAGCCTTCATGAAGAAAATTACCAGCTGTAAGTAAAAATTTACCGCAAAATAATTTTTTTTATATCCAATTAAAACATACCACATTGTACTAGTCCTGCAAAACAGCAAGCGATGACGAAAGAAATTGCCTTCACTTTCCACATTTTTGAACTTATTTTGACACAAACAACTGTCCGTTAAATCTGTTTTAAGGCTGACGTTATCGCAATCTTTGGACTATTAAATAAAGAAATATTCTATCAAGAATAATCTTGTCCCCGTATTTATCTACGGTATCCGATAAAGCTAGTTCAATTTAAAACGAAAATTTAAACAATCAACTTAACGACTACACACCCTCTCGACTTGATTTAAGATAAGAATATCCATTATCAATTCTTTTGCAATATACAGGTCTGGTCTTGTCATTCAGGCCTTGTCATGTAAAACACTGAACAGAAAGACATGCCTTCATGCAGAAGAAGAAAAAAATGAAAAGCATTTGTTGGATATATTTAACATTTTCTGTGCAGGTAAAACGTCTGGAAGGAACTATTTTCAACTTTTAATCCATTTTTAGAAAAGTCACCCCGTCATTAATTAATTTATTCTGTGCCGATTTTAATACAAAATTTACATGATAAAGAGTCATTGTTATATTTTCTCCAGACAGAAATGTTATTTATGCGGTAGCTTTATTGAAAGACATTTAGAAACCTAACCTCCTACGTATATTGCTATCTACCTGATATGTCTTGTCAATCTCTTTATATTCTTGTTTAATGTAAAATCTGATTTAAATGATTTACTTCGCCATGTTTCCTGAGAGTCAATATTCACCTGGCGCTTCCATAACTTTTCAAGGCAAAATGAAAACCCTACAACGTTTGCATGACCTGAAAATATGATAGCAAAACAGTTTAATGGAACAAGTCTTGGGTGTTCGGCCTCGTTTTTTTTTAGTTTCTTCCCTTAAGTTTGAAATTTGTGTTGTTGCTTTTTTACATTCTACTTTTAATGTAGTTTCGAGTGATAGTGCAAAATACTTTTTTCATAAACCTATAAACTTGTATTTTCTTTGAAAAGGAATAACACTTAAAAATGGTAACAGAAATGTTTGATCAATGGCAGTGAAATTGTGTGTGTAATTTTACGAAGAATGAATTAAAAGCAGGGACAAATTTTATCATAAGGTTTGTCATACTTGTATATCTGTTGTTTTTCTATATGAAATGACAAAAGGACAGATCACTAGAAAGGGAGCACGATGATCCCTATTATGGTCGCTTGTTATCATGTTATAAGATCATGCAAAGTTGATTTAATTAAAAACAAAATATTTGTTCTGCATACATGTTTGTTGAAGTACACTTTACATGTTCACTTTTGTCATAATTTAATGTATTGTTATGTCGGTTATAATTTCGAAAAATGACACGATTCAGTAAATCTGAATAGTGTTTACATTGAAAAGTATCCATTATTTTCAATTTTATTGTATTTATATTGACATCGGAATAATAACTTAGTGCAAAGTGAACAATATTTCGTTCAAAATTTTTCTCCAATTTTTCATACAAGGAACTTTATTATAAACATTTATGATTTATAAACATAATTATAAAACATAACTTTTCATTTGACGTAGACGTAACACAATTGTTAACAAATTATACCGAAATAGATTTTAACTTTTAACAGAGATAATACATAAACCCATCGCTACAATGTGAAGGAAAAAAATCAGTAAAACTTGAATACTTCATCTTTATCTCGTAAAGGCAATCACCGGGGCCCATTATCTTTTATGTTTTATTCCTCTTATGTGGTCACGTGACTAACAACGAAACATTATCAATGGAAGGAGCCATTATTCCTTCGCAAATATCTAAAAAAAAAACAAAAACGAAGGATGTGTTCGAGACATACAATTGATGAAAACAAGTCATGACTTTTATAAAAGTAACTACAGACTACTTTTAGCAAATTTACATAGAAGTTAAATGTCGCAATAACTTATTTTCAATTTATGGCTATTTTGGACCGCCATCTTAAGACTTAAAAAAGAAATGACACGAGTTAAATGTATGTACTCTGATGTATAATTACAATACACATCAAACATACTTATATATATATTACATTGAGACCTCTATTCATGGAAATATATACATCGTCTGCTATTGTTATCGTACTGATACTTGTCGCCTTCTTCACTAATCACTGGCATTAATTACAATATATTACTTTAAGATATTACTAAAATTCATATCTATTGATTCAAGTTTATTACCCCTAAGTGCTGTCGTTTGTCTAATGTTTACAGTTGCATATGTACCTGGGTAACGCACTTAGGGTGCAGTGTTACAGGGCCTTTCCATGCTCAGTCAACACGTTTTTTATATTTAAATAAAAGTGATTTTTTTTCTTTTGGTTGAATTCAACTTAGTACCATAACAGTATAGGTCACATGGCGACTTTCAAGCTGAACTGAAGGAGAAAAGCTCTCAGGTGCCCATCTGATCATTATTTCAGGCACAAACGGGAAACCTGAGCAGAACCATCAACGTGCCGTTAGCTAGCTGGATAGCTATCTCACAATTTAGCTACAGTGTGAACTAATACGGGTATGGAGAATTATATTTAAGTGGAAATATTGTGATTCTCTCTTCAAATCGATATTTTAGCCGCCTTTCTTAGATGCTACCGATCTATGTCCCCGCCCGCGTATAACTCAGAGAGCCAATATATGTAAATGACGATTATTTTGATAAATTAATCTTGGTTGTGAAAATAAACATGCATTTTCATTATAAATGCCTTTAAACTTAAAGCTGTTTGTTACTTGAGTACATGTAATTGATACATGCACATGAATTTGAAATTACGTCCTTGTACAGGGCGATCAGTCAGTGATGTTCATCCCCTGTATAAAACTTTTTATGCTCTGTTTTTGAAGTTCATGAGATGAAATGAAATTACATTATTTTCTCAATATCAACTTGAATATCAAAATCAGTTTTCCCCACCTGTAGCCTCAATTTCAGACCAATTTCTCATAAATATAGGATAAAAAGTAAGTCGAAAAATGAACGTTGAATTTTGATGATATTATTTTTTTAAAGAAATATATGAATAATCACTTGTTTTAGTTAAATAAAACAAACAATTCTAGAAAATTAAAATGTAACACCATGCCGAACTTCTCCGCGAAACGGCAAAAGTACATATGAGGCTAGCCTTAGCTATGTAACCGACCATCTTTTTTTAAAGTTGTGTATTTCACGGGAGAAAAGAATAAAATGTGTTTGATCAAGCTTAATAAAAATGATTATTATGAAAAGTTTGAGACAATTTTTAAACGACATACTGTTAATTGATTTCAGCATCCCTATAAATGATGTTCCAATAAAGAAAATAAATACTTATCAATGTTAAGACACAGTTTAGATTTACTTAATAGCGTCATTTCCGATATTAGATACGTTCAAATTATGACAAAGTGTACTTTTACAGAGATATATACAGAACGAAAATTTGTTGTAAAATTTACCTTAGTTTGCATGATACAAGCAAACATAATAGGGAAAGTCGTGTTTGTTTGCTGTTGATATGTGCTTAAATTCGTCTTTTTGTTCTTTCAGATAAAAAACAGATATATAAACCGTATTACTTAATTAGTTTCTGCTTTCTTTTTCTCCTTGGTAAAATACCATAATAAAGTTTATATCATTTTTAAAGCAAATTATGGTAAGTTTATGAACAGAAGTTTTTGCACCATTACTTAAATGAAAGTAAACTACATGAAAAATCTGAAAGTTTAAGGCTTATTTGAAAGAAGCCATTGTTTCAAACTGAAGGAAAGGTAACTCGAAAATGGAACTGATAACCCGAACTTTGTTTGCTAAAATGTTTTTCTCATGCATACATTATACAATTTTAATTCTGCTTGCGAATCGTAAAATTATGAATAAGTCTAATGTATATTAACTCTCAGTAAATGTGGGAGAAGGATATCAATCCAATCAGATTTTACATTAAATAAAAAATGCCCCCCCCCAAAAAAAAAAAAAAAGAAAAAAAAAAAAAAAAAAAAAAGAAAAAAGCAACCAAAAAAAAAAAAAATAAAAAAAAAAAAAAATAATATAAAACAACAACAACAACAACAAAAACAACAACAAAAAACAAAGACACTTCGTTATAAACTTAGTGATTTGACACAACATAATTATCATGTATATAGGAGTTTAAATTTCTAAATGACTTTCGGTAAATTAAACATACCGCATAAAAACATTATTGTCTTTTCAAATCGTATTATATCATGAGTGTCGGCCTGAAAATGGCACAATTGTCAGTTTTTCAATATTTTATCAAAGGGATGGATTGGACGTTCCTCAGTGGTAGCGTAAAGGTTATTAATGTTTTTCTTTAAAAGTTAGCAAGAACTTAATTATTTTTGCAGTTAGAATGATAAAATAGTTCTTTCAAGAAGTTTAACCGGTTCGGAAGATGTATAATATTCCAACCAAAATCATTGTTTTATCTATATTTATAATCATATAATTAGTACTATTCATTGGAAGTAACTGCGGTAAGACAATAGTGTACATATTGTACCGAAATTGATTATGATTTTAAAGAGGGATAATCTATAAGTGCACCGCTACAATGTGATGGTGTACATCGGTATTTAAGATCAGTGTATCGTTAACTAAACCGTCGGGTCAATTATCTTTTATTTTTCATTCCTTTTATCTCACGGTTCAGTTAACATGGAGCATAGACGTAATATTGCTTTCAGTGTCAAATCGAAACTAAGTTGTTGCGCATCAAACACATGATTCTAAACTTTTATCCAAAAATTTTCGTTCGTTCAAAAGACTTTGCATGCATCTAACTGCAAATCATCTCTAAAACATTTACAACTTTCTACTATACAAACCTACCTGAATACTATTTTTTTTTTATTTTGTCTTGTCGCGGGGACTCCCAGATAGAACTACATGTAAAAGCCGATTTTCCTTTCTTTATTTGAAATTTGACAACATATATAAAGCGATCATACTATTTTTTTTTTCTTATTAACTAAACACATACATGAACATGATGTACTAACATCTGAATATCGAATTGTAGTAACTACATATTTATATGTAATGTTCACTTCAATTTAAAGCCTCCAGTTGAGCGAAAATATTTCAACTAATCATACTTGAGAAAAATGTACTAAGATTTTAGGAAAAGTAGAAAGATTCAAGATTCAAGTAATAATTTACATGTTATGAGCGATTAATAGTGAGTTTTTAATTGTGTGTAACTATAT